GGAGGACAGAGTTTAAATCTGCTGGTTATCTCCAGAGACAGCCCGAGCATCGGAGCCCACCTCCTCACTGGCAGCCGGGGCTCGCGGGGGCCGGGCAGGGCAGCAGGCACTGCGGGTCGGGGCTGTAATGAATGAAAAATGAATGAAAAATGAATGAAAAATGAATGAAAAATGTATTCAAGTTTCTGGCCTGTGTTCTGAGCTCGGCTGTGCTGATCTGAGCCTGTGGAGCAACAGCCCGCAGTGCCCGTGGGTGTCTGACCAGCAATTTGAGACCTTGCTTTTGTTAAGGCAGCGTTGAAGGGAAGGCTGCATTTGAGTTATCTTAAATATAACAATCTGGATGTTGTCCTGTGGTCTAAATAGCATTTATTTCCTCACAATCTTGTAAATCCCGTCAGTTCTGACTTACCATGTGTGGTTTCCAAAGTTTCTTTGTGCCTGAACAAGATCGCTAGAGCCTAATTTTTCAGGGGTAACAAATGTCCATGGTTCATCTGGGAGGCCACAGAGTTGCTGAAGACCAGCAGAACACTCTTCCCTTTAGTTGCCATATAATCTGGGCTTTATTTGAAGAAAACGTTCAGTGACTTCAGCTGTTTGACCCTGCATCCAAATGCCAGAGCAGCAGGGGCAGTGGGAGCTGGTGGGTTTTGGAGGTCATTCCTCCTGGGACAAAAATGGAGCTGAAGGGCTACTGTGCTGCTTTGTTACCCAAGGCTTTGTGGTTCACTGAATTGTTGGGAAGATCTGGGAGCTTGGACTCCAGAGGCTTTTCTTACTTGGGTGTTGGGGTCATTTTTGATGGGAACTCTTAAAAAACATGTTCTTTGCAGCTGGCCTGGGTTTCAGCGTGGAGAAAGCTGTCAAGCTGAGAAATGCCTTTTCAGCCCGTGAAATTCCATTTGGCTTTAGCTGGTTTATAATCTGGGTTTTTTTTAAAAAAAAAAAAGTAAAATAGAAAAGCAAGTCACAACGATTCCCCTTGTGCTGCTGGCGTGTCTGGAGGGGAAAAAAAGCCCCACCAACTGTGTGCCAAAGCCCTTCATAATGAGAGAAGCTCTCCTCAGAGCTGGGCTCTGCCCAGTGCCCTTACGCTGCTTGAGTCTGCGGTTTGCACAGTCTGACCAGGAAAGGGGGTTTGATTTTTTATCTTTCATCCAGCTCCAGCGCAAAGAGCTCTTGGCATATAAAATTGTTAATAAACTAATGATTTTTAAATGATTTTCCCATCCAGAGCAGCCCAAAATGTCCAAAATGAGAAGTTTAGTAGAAAACTCTTTGGATTAAGAGAGGCTCTTTCATCAAATCCTCATCACCACGCAACAGCAGAGGATGCTGTACCTGCTGTGTCACCTTCAGACAGCCAAAGCCAGGAGGAGAACCTGGGCTGTCACCCAGCCATGCAAGGGGAGGTGGTGTTTGTTCATCACCCAGCTGTTCTGCTTGTCTCTTGGCCCCTAGAAAACACAGAGTAGATAATCTGAATTTCCTTCCAGACCAGTTACCTCTCTTCTTAATTTTGGGGCGTTTCTCCTGGGCTAGTGAAGAAAAAAAAAAAGAAGAAATGTTGCAAAAGCTGCTTTCCTTGCATGGAAGAGTGCTGGGGTGTGAGGTTTTTTGAAGTCTGTGCCCAGTGCTGGGACTGGTGAAGGTATTGACAGGAAAACTCCCTGGCTGTGGATGTGGAGGAGAGCTGTGCTGGTGTCGCTGTGTTTAATAGCTGTTGTTTCAGGATCTGATTGAATTAGGACTTGTGTGAACTCTATCAGTCTTGCCGCACAGATAAAGGCTTGTTTATTTTTCATTGGCCCTTTGTTGAAATAAAACGGTTTCTGATAATGCCCAAGTAATTCTTTTTATCGACATTCAGGAGGCTGATACGGAAATAAAAAACAGGGAGCTCTTTTCAGTGGAGATTAAGATCTCTCGGGAACGCGGCAGGCTTCTGACATGAAGTATTGTCATCACTTCTGCTGTGGTGATGAGCAGGTCTTTCGGTTCTGCTGCTCCATTCGATAGCAACCACTCGCCCTGAAAGATGGGCTCACCAAACAGGCAAGTTTTTCTGAAATTAGAGGGACGCGTGGAGCATATTTTAGCAGACAACAGTGGAAATGTGCAAAACCAGAACAATTCCAAATCCAATACATTAGTAAAAAAAGGAAGTAAACAGTCATAGGGACAACCTTTATGGAACACTTAATTTTATTTATTTTTTTTTAAAAAAAGGAGTTAGACTTATTCCTATGCTGGATGAAATTTCTGGGGGTACTGTGGACCTTCGTGAGGGATTGTCCCCATCTCTAGCCAAGACAAGGGGGTCCTGACCAGGGGAGACTGTGATGCAAAAGGGCAAAGAGAGGTTGGGCTGCAGGAACTGGAGAGATGACTCAGGGGATGGTGAGGACCCAGTTTATCCGTTCTGCTGCTGCTTCTTGGAATTAAACTCGTTAAATTCCCCTTGCACATCTCAGATCTTAAGTTATGAATTACCAGGCTGCACATAACTCACGGGAGGGGTTGTTGCAAGATATTTTGGGGTGTTTTGTGGCAGCAGGAGATGGAGCATTCATTAGGAAGTGTGATCTTGATGGAGGAGGTGACCTCATCCTGAAGAGCCCCCTCCGCAGCACATCACCCACCCTGACAGCTGCTGGAAGTTGTGGGCTCTCTGCTTCATTCCCACCCGTTAACACACCGTCCACATCCGCAGGGCGATGGGGATGCCACTCAGCTGCACGTTTATCACTTGCCCTCGCTGTCCGCGGTGCACTGAAGCCGTGAATGGAGAAGCCCCACCACACATGGGCAACGGTGCCAGGTTTGGGATGGGGTGGGGGGTTTGCAGAGCACAGGGGCTGAGCAGTGGCTGGCAGCAACCCAGGGCAGAGCCCACCCAGGGTAGAACCCACCCAGTGCGTGGTCCCCAGGGACCCACGGTGCTGGCTGCGATGGATGGCTGCCATGGCAACCCTGCCTGTGCCCGGAGCTGCGTCTGTCACGAAGGGGGGAAAATTCCTAAGGGGCAGGTTGTCAAATACCTTCTTGTGACCCCACAGGGACAAAGCCGGTGGAGACATCCTCTGCAGCCGGTGATCTGGGGCAGTTCTGGGGAAGAAGGAATTAGGGTGGTGTAGGAAGGAGCAGATGCTCTGTCAGGGGGGCAGTGCTGCAGCCACCCAGTGCTCAGAGCTCTCCCTGCGTAGCTGGCATGTGCTTTTTCACCATGTCGAGCCACAGGGACCCGTTGAATTGCTGTGGGGTGGTATGAACAGTCACACTGGGGATCTGGAGAGTGAAAATGGAGCACAAGCCATCAGAGCACTGGGTTGTACCTGTGCAGCTCGGAGCAGGATTGCTCTTAATCTGATTATAGGCACTGAAGAATGTTTTTGGGCAGTTATCGATACTTTGCATCACAGGAATGAGGCTTTGAGCGACCTGGTCTAGTGGAAGGTGTCCCTGCTGATGGCAGGGGGCTTGGAACTGGATGAGCTTTAAGGTCCCTTCCAAAGCAAACCAGTCTATGATTCTGTGAATTAAATAATTACATTTTTGAGAAGGGATGTTTTTCAGCAGAGCTGTGATTCTCTCTGGTCCCTCCCAGCCCTGCAGTCCCGGGGAGGTGCGGAGGGAGCAGGGCTGCTCCTCCATTCCCCGGCCGAGAGCCCGGGGTTAGCAGAGAGGCTTTCTGCTGCTGTCTGTCTGAATAAACCCACGCTATTTCATTCTCACTTCTCTTCAAAGCGCTGTCAGTGCTGTAAACACTGCAAGACTGTGAGCCCAGCTCCTTTCGCTGCCATCCCTAAGCCCAAAGCTTTCGCCCTGCCCAGGACCCGTGGTGGCAGCTGCCCGTTGGCTCCCTCAGGGACAGGAATTGCTTGTCTGGCCTCAAAGTGCAGGGAGGTGCCAGGTCACTTAGTTAAGAACACGTGCAAGAGCAGATGATGCTGCTGTTGGAGAGGGGAGTTTGGAGCAGTGTGGACCCCACTGCTCCCACCCAGGCATGCTGCTGCAGCATCCCAGCCTGCTTCAGCTGTAACCCCCACACCAGCAATTAAAACCTCAGCCTTTCTTCCTGCAGAATCGTTTGGTTGTTCCTTAATACCAGTTTGATCGATATTTCTGTTTCTGAAATAGGCATCAGCTTTTCTGCTGATCCACCAAGTGAAGGTCTCTGCATTTATTTTTTTAATGCTCCCTCACTGACTCCAGGTGCCACGATGTGTGTGATGAAGGACCCTTTTGCAGGGAAGCCAGGCTGTGGGGTGGGATGGGAGCCTTGAGTGGCCTGGGCGTAGGGGTCTGCATTGCACCCGTGTTCTGTTTTCACACGCAGAGGGAAGAAGGATTTCCAGCAGCATTTAGCCTTGGGGTGTTGTGTGTAAAAGAGAAATTAAATTGTTTGAGGGGTGAAGAATAGGAACACAGAAGGATTTGACCTGCAGAATTAATGGAGTTGGTGAGACACTGGCCCAGGTTGCCCAGAGAAGCTGTGGCTGCTCCTCCCTGGAAGTGTTGAAGGCCAGGTTGGATGAGGCTTTGAGCAACCTGGTCTAGTGGAAGGTGGGCCTGCTGATAACATAACTCGATATCTTTAAGGTCCCTTCCAACCCAAACCATTCCATGATTCTATGATTTTGTGAGGTTCCTCTGGACAGGCTGGAGTGGTTCACCATCAGCTGGATTGGGCTTTCTGTTCTGGGGATGGATGTTCAGGTTTGAGCCTTTACAGGCAATGGGAACAGAGGTTTTACTAGTCGTTCCCAAACTGGGGAACATGTTGGTTGATTTGAAAGCTGCAAAGGCTGTTTAACCAAAAAATTTGTGAGACAGCAGGACACGGAGATTTACAGCTGCTGCTTCTGAATTTGCCTTGCTTATGGAGTTTGCTGTCACTCTGATATGAAGAGCTAAGTAAATGCTAAATGAACTGTATTCAAAAATGCTTCCTTAATAAATGGCCTCACAAACTAAATTTCAGAAGATGATCCTACCTTTAGCCTATCTTTATGATAATTTTAATTATGGTTAATAATTTGATCTCCATTTCAAGTTTATTGTCTTACCCCATCATGATTTCATCCTTTAACAAGATTGGTAATGATGCAAGTGTGTGCAGGGCAAAGCACTCACCTAGAGACATGTGACTGGTAAGAACGTATCTCATATAAGTGCCAGCTGAAGCCTTTCCTGAGTGTGCTAAGCTCTGTCCTAAAATCAGATGGAACTTCTGTTCCCTTTCCTTTTCTCCTGGAAGGCTGTTTGTTGGTTTCCAACCTAAATATACCCATAGGGTGTTGATATATTGATATGATGCCTTGGTCTTCTTCTCTGGTGCTTACCTGTCCATCCTTGTTGACAGGATACACTCATCTCCCATAGCCATCTGACCCCTGGCTGGCTGAACAGGTTCTCAGGTCCTCTGAGAAGGACCTGATCATCTTCCTGTGCCTGCTCCAGTGTAGTTTTATCATTCTTGGGCTCCATTGCCCAGCAGGACATGCAGTGCTGTGGGTGAGGTCTCACCTGGCCTGGTGATGTGACTCTTTAGCCATCATGGGTGTTCTCTCTCTTTGGAGGCTGCTTTGTAAGGGTGGTAGTTGTGACTTCAGTAGCATCCTTCCATCTGAGGAGCAAAGGAAAGGGTATCACAGGATCACAGTGCTGCTGAGCACCACAGCAGCCAGCTTTCCTACTGTTCCATCCAAACCTTCAGGAAGCCACATTTTTTCACATCAGTCCTCAGCTCTCCATTGCGGACAGAGATACTTTGGCAGCCTTATCATCTCTCTGCTGCTTTTTTTCTTGGAGAAGTGGTGGCAGAGCTCTGGGGAAGTGCCTTGCTGTTAGCAGCACGTGCACACTGCTGAGCCCCCTTGGCCCCTGCCCAACTGGACCTGGAGCCTCCTGGTCCTGCCAGAGATCTGCTGGTGCTGGATAGTTTCCTATGGATGTTATGGGACTGTGCAGCTCTTAAAAAGCCGAGTTGGAAACACTCCCCCTGGGAGTTTCTCTTTCCTTCTCTGTTTTTCTTCTTTAATCTCCAGGAGATTTCACAATTACAGGTTTGGGATACATCAGCAGGTGGCCGTATTATTCACCTCCTGGTGTAAAATTAATCTTTTCTCTATGGAAATTCAAGGACAAGGTAGAGGATGGAGTGAGCAGCCAGCTCCATAAAGAGAATCTGGCAAATTAATGGATGCACTGTGTACTTTCAATGGCATTTCTCCATCTTCTTCCAAGCATTGTGATTGCCATATATAGCATAGCATGCCCTTCCTCTTCCTCCTGCTCCAAACCCTGGTGAGAACCTGTGGGTGAATATCCATGGAAGGGGACTGGAGAGAGCAGCCTTGGGTTGGAAGGTGTTTGTGGCTGGTTCAGCTATCCAAGGTTTTCTTTTCCAAGCTTGCTGCAGTGGTATCCCAAATGTTCATTTAATCAGTAACATGTGCAGACACTGATATTCCCCACATGTCAGTTGTCCAAAGGGAAGAAAGAGAAGAAAAATGACTTTGAAACCAGTTGTTCCGTTATTCCCTGTTTGGGGAGTAGTGAGTAACCCATGACTTAGGCTGTGTCCTGGTGACCCAGCTGGATTGCTGGTCTCCCAACAGAGTGGAAGAGCTGCAAGCACTGCAGCAGCGTTCCTTGCCTTTGTGTAGGACAGACTTTGGCCAGTCATAGAATCATGGAATGGTTTGGGTTGGAAGGGACCTTAAAGATCATCCAGTTCCAACCCCCCTGCCAGCAGCAGGGACACCTTCCACTAGACCAGGTTGCTCAAAGCCTCATCCAACCTGGCCGAGAACACTTCCAGGGAGGAGCAGCCACAGCTTCTCTGGGCAACCTGTTCCAGTGTCTGACCACCCTCACAGTGAAGAACTTCTTCCTAATATCTCATCTAAACCTCCCCTCTTTCAGCTTAAACCCATTTCCCCTTGTTTTGTCATTAACTGCCCTTATGAAAAGTCCCTCCCCAGCTTTCTTGTAGCCCCTTCAGGTACTGGGAGGCCGCTATAAGATCTCCCCGGAGCCTTCTCTTCTCCAGGCTGAACAGCCCCAACTCTCTCAGCCTGTCCTCATAGGAGAGGTGCTCCAGCCCTCAGTCACACATTTATTGCTTGAAGCCAGTTTCCTGGTGTAACAGGGATATACCAAGAATTTTTCCACTGTCAGTTTAGGAAGAGAAGAGAAATTTAATATCAAAACTGAAGACAAGAGCATGGTCAGAGCCAACTAAGGTGTAGTCTGCTCGAGTATTTTATTTAAGCTGAAGGTTTATAGCAGTTCTCTGTCTGGATTTTATGATCGTTTATTTATGATAGTCTTTTAAATCACTGTGTTGGAGCAATTTGGTTAGAAGTAACGCTTCTGCTGTTTCTTTCTCTTCTCCTCTTGGCCCATGAGTTTAATAAAGTGATGTCACTTGCTTGGAGAACATTAAATGCCATGTAAGCTTCATGTGATAAGAAACTTTGAAGATGCACATTGAAGAATCTGGCAAGGCACGACTTGTAAGGGAATATCTTTTAGTAGCAAGCTGATCTAATTAGAAAATGTGGTTTTACTTCTGAGAGAAGCACTTGCCCAGGTCTTGGAGGAGGCTTGTTGCGTACTCAGGCTGTGCTGGCTTTGTGGAGCACGCTGACAGCTCCTGCACACACTGGGGACCCACGATGTCCCTGGGAGGCAGACTCACACCCCATGCTATTTTTATAAGATTTATTTCACAGTAGCTCAATGACAAGATTAAGTTTGGGTCTGAGTTAGGTCATTGTACTTGTATATTTGATATTATTAAACTTTGGAAGTGGTACAAGCGGTGGTGTCCAGTCTCATTTGAACCAACCAGAGAAGTAGGATACCAGCTCTCTCCTGAAGAACCTGAAGCTGCATGGCAAACTTCCCCTCAAGGAAGTTTTCCTATCCAGAAAGGCAATAAAAAACAAAGACCTGGTAAAAAAAATAAAAATTGAAAAGTATACCTAGTTTCTAAGGTTGTAGGAAGCTCTCAAACATGTGTCTTGTTGCCTTCACGTTTTCAGAGTTAAAGAACTTACACGCAAGAGGTAGAGTTTTGCTCGTATTGCTGTTGATACTAAACACTGATCACAAGTATGAAGTAGGGTGTGTAGTGCTGGGATCTGAGATTTCAAAGTTTCCAATTCCCTTTCCTGATTTTCAACACTGGACTGATTCCTGTTTCTTGTTCCCAACCTTCTGCAGAACAACAAGACTTTTCAAGCCTTCCAGCCTTTTATTGTTCCATTTGTATAACAAAACCCACATGGATGACAAGCTGATGGGTTCAGGGTTATGTCCCAGTGGCTCTGTGTAGCACTGTGGTGGCCCCACAGCTGCGTTGCCAGTGTTGGGGTCCTACCCTGGGGTCGGGCAGCTGCAATAATTGCATTTTTCTTCCATTTGGTAGCTGGTGATGGAGTTCTGCGGCGCGGGCTCCGTCACTGACCTCATCAAGAACACGAAGGGGAACACCTTGAAGGAGGAGTGGATCGCCTACATCTGCAGAGAGATTTTACGGGTATGTGTCCAGAGGGAGCTAAATGTTGGGGTTTGTTGGAGGGGACGTGGAGCCTTTGGCTCTGCAGGCTTTGTGGCTGCTGCCTTGCCACGGGCTGGAGCCTCTTCGGTGCCGGTAGGCATGAATGATTCATGTGCTTGTATGATGCATAATAAATAACTCCTATTTAATGCCTTTTAGCTCTGTTAGTTCCTTGACTTTTAACCCTCTTTTTCCTTCGACAAAAATAGTATTTCCTTTAGTATTAATAGGGCAAAGATTTATTTACATTAGAATTTCATTTTCAGTTAACAGAAAGGTGAGGACTAATAAAGTCAGTGGAAAGAATCATCATGATTAAAAAGCACCCAGGTTTTATTAAATTCACATGTCTCTGGCTTTAATGAGGATGCTGCAGCTTTTATACCCACAAGATGAATGTTTGACAGGAGTGTCTTAAAATGAACTGTGCCAGAGTTTCATGTACTGGGAGATGGCAGCTTTGGCAAAGACTTGCTTATGTTTGAGCCGGCAATGTGCACTGGCAGCCCAGAGGCCAATAACCGTGTCCTGGGCTGCACCCTGAGAAGCGTGGGCAGCAGGTCGAGGGAGGTGATTCTCCCCCTCTGCTCTGCTCTCGTAAGGCCCCACCTGGAGTTCTGTGTCCAGTTCTGGAGCCCCCAACATGAGAAAGACATGGACCAGTTAGAATGAGTCCAGAGGAGGCCACGGGGCTGGAGCACCTCTGCTGTGAGGACAGGCTGAGAGAGTTGGGGCTGTTCAGCCTGGAGAAGAGAAGGCTCTGGGGAGATCTTATAGCGACCTCCCAGTACCTGAAGGGGCTACAAGAAAGCTGGGGAAGGACTTTTTACAAAGGCAGGGAGTGATAGAACAAGGGGTGATGGCTTTAAACTGGAAGAGGGTCGGGTTAGATGAGATGTGAGGAAGAAATTCTTTGCTGTGAGGGTGGTGAGACACTGGAACAGGTTGCCCAGAGAAGCTGTGGCTGCTCCTCCCTGGAAGTGTTGAAGGCCAGGTTGGATGAGGCTTTGAGCAACCTGGTCTAGTGGAAGGTGTCCCTGCTGATGGCAGGGGGGGTGGAACGGGGGGAGCTTTAAGATCCCTTCCAACCCAAACCATTCCAGATTCTATGATTTTGCACAACTGAGGTCAGATGATGTGATCACAATGGTTGCCTCAGCATTCAAATCCATCACTGCGTGAAGCAAGATTTTATTCGGGAGAAAACAGAAAAATTGGGCATGTGAAGGAAAACTGTAAAAGAACCGTTCAAAGAAAACAAGGCAAAATGACTGCTCCAAAAGGCCGTGTCTGACACTGCTGCTGAGGCTGCTGCTGGTGTCCAGGGGTGACACAGCACTTCTCTGTTTACCCTAAATGCCACCGTCTGCATGAACATGATGGGCAGAAGGCGCTGGCGCTGGAGCTAATCAGTTGTTGTACGGACACTGCTTTCAGTGCCAGGAAACCACAGTTACACAGGCTGATTTTAAATGTCTGAGCTCTGTGACTTCTTAAAATAGACCCTGGCAGCAAGTCAGAACCCAACCACTGACTCATGTCCCAGGGCCACCACCGAGTGTCATCGCTCGTATTTTGGGGCGGTTGGTTGGTGACCTCTGTAGGGTTTCAGGTGGTGAAGGGCTCCCACCTCTGTGCTGCAGAATGTGCCTCTATCTTGGCTCAGGTGTTGAGGATCGGTTGTAATTCTAACACCAGCTTCAATCCCGCACTGTTAAAGGATTTTTTGAAATTCAATGAACTTTTTGTTTTGCCTCCAGTGCACAAACGTGTCTCTAAATGGATATAACATAGCTTTAAAAAAAGGATTTCCATACAGATATAGGCTATTTCATGGTGTTGTCCCAAGGTAACGAGCGTAAAATGACTAATAACTACCAGTAGTGATAGCAGAAATTACTTTCTTCCTCAAATATGAATGTTTAATATGAAATGTAAACCTAATGCAAAATTAGTTATTGAAATAGTCTGTGTTTTTACTAAGCTGGCAGTATAGGTGGACATTCCTTTGAAACTGAAATAATAAGCGAATGAAATAAAAATGTAGGTTGCAAAAAGAAATTAATGAGCCAATAAAAAAAGCACAACAGAGAAGCTAGTTTACCTTTAGCCTTTGAGACAGGCTTTTAATTTGAGCTGTATCTCCATTAGGGATATGTAGAAGTTCTAATATTTGTATTTGCATGGTAGCTTTTTTAATACAAGCTTATTCGTGTATTGAAGTCCCGTTTATTGGACCGATATAACAAAAGAATTGTTTTCTTCAGTTTCTGGATGGTGGAAATACAGAAAGGAGACAAAACCATTCTATTGTTTCTGCAGTAGAAATGATTCCCTAAGGCAAGGGAGCACATGGGGGGAAAATATGTCTAGAGCTGCGGAGGAATTTGGGTTAATAGGGGTTCCTGCAGAAACTGAAAGGTTGGTTTGAATCCCTATAGAATTCATGGTTGTCAATGGTTGATCTCCTGCTATGGAGACCACCCACTGTGGCACATACAGCCCATTGGTGGGCATCTCTCTTGCTGGGCACATCCTCCCAGCATGTGGCATAGGACAGTATTTGGAACACGTGATAAACAGAAGTGTTCTCAAGTGCTTAACTCCAACTGTGAATCTTTCCTTTCTGGAGAGTAATTGCTTGAGGAGGAATGTCATAAAATAACATGCTTTGAACTCGGATTCCTCTAACCTTTCTCTGAATTCTCTAGGGCTTGAGTCATCTACACCAGCACAAAGTAATTCACCGAGACATCAAGGGACAGAATGTATTGCTGACAGAAAATGCAGAAGTTAAACTAGGTAAGAGTGTAAGAGTGGGTTAGAGCTCTTGGAAACTGCAAGTGGGCTGGCTGGAGAGAAGCAGCAAAACTGATTAGTACATGACTTGAAGAAAGGAGATGGATCCTAAGAGTTACTGTATGTTTTTTCTCGTGTCAGCCTCAACAACATGACCTTGGGTGTTGACCAAGTACTGTGCAATAAACTGCCAGTGGTTGATGGCCCAGTTCTCCATGAAAAGATGTACTTGCAGTGGTGTTTCTGTTCAGTTTGGGCAGCTCTGCCATCAGATACAGGTTAAGCAATCAAGACCATTTTTTCATGCTCCAGATTGAAGATTGCCCTCTGTGCATCACCAGACATTGTCAAAGCCTGTTTATGGTAGTGTCCTACAGGATCATAATCCATTCGGTTTAGTGTGACTTAATCCAGACTCGTTTCCCAAGCTAACGTGTTGGAGAGAGCTTCATTTGCAAGAACTGCTCTGAATTTCATGTGCAATGTTAGTAACCCTGGAGAAGGCATTCATGTGAAGATCATACAGAAATATCCTGATATCCTGAGTTGTCCAGCACCAAAGTTAAGGCCATCTTTGCACTTTTTAGTTTATGCTGGTGATGAAAGATCCCTTACACTGGTAAAGTGAGGTGCAAGCCTTGTTTTCCCATTCCTCTCCTCTGTCTTTACAGCAAAATAAAACCCCATCTTAACAGATGGCACCACCAGCTCGTTTGGCTCTATGTTGGTGAAGATTCCCCTCCAAGGGGAAATTCTCCAGGGCAAATCTCCAAACATTGTGTTGCGCAAAGTGAACTTAGTGGACCATAGAGTATTCTCTCATTGATTTGATTTGATCAGTTTTTGCTTCATTTTGCAGCTCTGTGCTTGACATTTCCCCATGGGCCTTTGTCCTTGGCCCTTAGTTCCTTAGTCTTTTGCATTTCTGCCATTTCCTGCAAGAATTTAGGTAGAAAAATGAGGCTTTTACCAATATTTGGCAGGCTTTAATTCAAATGAGAAAGCGTAGAACAAAGGCTGCTGCTTATTCATGTTGCTAACCCTGTTTCTAATTAGTAAGAGGAGCTGTGATTTCTTTTCATTGCCTACTGACAAGGAGGAAAAGGCACAGGGTTTCCTACAAAGCATGGACATCAGATGATCAGGTTTGTCCTTGCTTGACCTCTGGTGATGCCAGCAGAGATCAAACAGGAATGTCTCTGGCCGCATCTTTCTTGCCTGACTGTGCAGAGGAGCTGGTCTGAATGATCTTGATGTTTTACACTGAACAGAAGGTTGTTGCACAGGTTTGTCTCTGACCTTACGATGCCCTGTTGTCTCTCTCATCTGCAGTGGATTTTGGTGTCAGTGCTCAGCTGGACAGAACGGTGGGCAGGAGAAACACCTTCATTGGAACGCCTTATTGGATGGCCCCCGAGGTCATTGCTTGCGATGAAAATCCCGATGCCACCTACGACTTCAAGGTACCTAAATGAGCATCTGCCTACCTTTTTGTACATCATTACAGGTGTAACCTTTGCAAAGTCTAGAATGTTTGCTAATAAGGCAGGGAAGGAATTAAAGCAGCACTTCTTGGTGCTTGCAATGAGGGTTGTGACCATAAACATCTGAAGAAGGTGCTTGGTATCATCTGAGATTTTATGCCCCAGTACCATGAACTTGAGCACTAGGGATTTAGTATATTCTTGCAGCTTTGAAAAATATAATGACAAGCAGCATAGTCTCCTCCTCCTTTCTGGCTGTTGGATTTTGAGATGGCAGTTCAGGTCCGGTGTGAATCTTTGTTGTGCTGTTCACATATCCAAATTTACTGTGAAGAAGTCTTTCCCCATGCTGAGAAAGGTGTCAGACTGAGGCTTCCTACCTTCTAGGCTGCTTTTCAGTGCTGCATGTTTAAATACTACAGTCAAACATGCTGTATTTGCTCTATTTACTCTGGAGAGAAGTCAGGTCAGGTTTAGAAAGGGCAAAATCACATCTTCTGGCCTGCAGGCTGATATTCACAGGGAGATCTGAAGGCTGCCACACAATCAGACGTTTAGGGGGCTGACCTACTTTTCACATGTCTCTCTAGCCTGTTTGAAGTTTATTTTTGGATCGGTGGCAGCACAACATTGCCACTGAGTTAAAACATGGCACAGAGCCCCGTGCCACGCAGCAGGGTCTGCAGGAGGGTTATGAGTCCCACCTGCCCATTCAAACTACAGATGTTTAAAGCAGGGAGAGCTTAATATGTTTTATCCTGTTTCTGCCTTACTTACTGCAAGTTTCTGGACACACATCTATCCTTGGATTTTTGTCCCTTGGTTTTTTGAAGCGTCGAGAACTTGAATTTCTAGTTCCAAACCCCATAAGCTCCACTGAGCGTTTCCAGAGAGCAGAGCAAGACAGTGACACATGGGCTTTTGCAGGAGAAGCTGAGACATATATAAAGCTTGCTGTACCTCTGTTGATGTGCATGCTGAGGTCACCTTACAAGGTAATGTTGAAAAAAGGACTTTGAGACCTTGTGGTGTGGAGTTAGGTAGCTGCTTTCTAACAGCAGGACACAGCATAGAATCATGGAATGGTTTGGGTTGGAAGGGACCTTCAAGCTCATCCAGTTCCAACCCCCCTGCCATCAGCAGGGACACCTTCCACTAGACCAGGTTGCTCACAGCCTTATCCAACCTGGCCTTAAAGACATCCAGGGAGGGAGCAATGTAATAGTGCAACGACTCACCATCGTGTTGCAATTTGAGGTGCAATTACTAGTGACTCAGAGAAATTTTTGAGAGACGAGGGATTATCGCAGCTATTTAAGTGCATCAGTCAACTTTTGAACTGATGGTTTTCCAGAGAGCAGCTCTCCAGTCTGAGTTCAGACTCCGGGTGACATAAATCGTTAATGATAAGGACATGTAGAAATAGTTTAATCTGCAATTACTTAATACTCTTTGGTTAACTAATTACAACAGGCGTTTCCTTGACTCTGCTGATGGCAGGGCTTCGTAGCAGGGCTGCAGCCCCCGCTCGCCGCTGTCACTGCTTCTCCACTGACAGCCGCCTGGTGCAGCGCTCTAATTAATCACAGCTTTTTATTTATCTATTTATTTATTTATTTAAAAAGACTGGTATCTTCATAGGCTACTTTCTACCTCAGAAATCCCTGAGGATTTTCCTTTTTCCAGAATAACTAGGGCGCTTAATATGCCGCTGACTGATGCACAAGCGCCGGGACCAGAATCCCTCTATTGTCCCCAAGGATCAAGTGCTCATAGCGAGCCAGGCGCTTGCCTCTCTGAAGTTGGCATTGACCATTCTCCCTTGGCTGGGGGTATGAAACAGAAGGCTGATTGCTGCAGACACACTCACTGCAGGGTGTTTTTGGAGCTCGTGGTGATGTGGAAGTCACTGGACATTATCCTGTACCCCGGATCGCATCCCTGTACCTGATACTCTTGCTTTGAAGCTAGAGGTGGGAATGTAAATTGCAATTATTTAATTATTTTTTTAAAAGGGATGCAAATCAGATCCTCTCAGGTTTAGCCAACTACCTTAAAATAGTGAATACAAAAGATGAGATTTATAGGGTGAAAAAAGGAATCCTCACAGGCTTAATCTGTTGGACAAAAAGCCTCTGAGCTCGCTGTTTTCTTAGCCAGAAAGAGATGCTTGTGTAATCTATGGAAGGAGGCAGTAAATACCCCATCAAAAAAAATAAACCACTTCAAAAAAGAACAAATAGAAACCCCACATTGTTGAGGTTATTTGTTGTTTTTTCTCCAGCCAGTCTTCCTTTTTTCTTTGGAGTTATCTTG